TAATCGTACATACAATAAATGTAGATTTTTATAAGCACAATGTATGCTTATGTCTATTTCGCTCTTCTAACAGATTCGCGTCGAGAAATCAATCATTACATTTCCTATTCAGAATTTTAAATTGAGCAGTATTCATAATGCACTTAAAAAACTAAAATTTTTTTTAAATTGGAAGACTTAGAAATGTACTTCATACAATTCCTAATAAATGTAAATTAATAAAAATGTATTGGAAAGGATTCATTTCAACGTTCGCGAACGTGTACTTTTGAAATACTTTTCTTATTTGTACGACAAATTTGCGTTAAATGTATACGAGGATGTTTTGGATCAAATGTGTTCGCACGCGCTTAATTTTGAATATCAAGAAAATGATGCCCTCTGCCGGGCTTCACGGGCACCTTTCCCCTGTCCTTACTCTACCCCACAAGTTTCTTTAGGAAAACGGCGCGTTTGTACTCGTTTGTTTCCAAAATTTTCATAATTTAAAAAATCGCCTGAACACAAACGACTTCCATATACACGGTAAGAATTAAAATTCTAACTATTCACACACCTCTAAAATGTGATAATAAACATATTGGAATATGTTCAGATTCCCAAACGATTTTTATCATTTATCCTTGTTTTGAATGCGATGTTCAGTAAGGATAACATAATATTTGGGCAATACTCGGGTAGGAATTCTGAACGCGCCTTTGAAGATGCTTGAAGTAAAAAAATAATGAAAGTAATGTTTTGTAAGATATATAGGTGATCATTACAATTAACACATCGGCTGATATCATAGTATATTGATGAAATTATATTGGATTTTATGAAAATGTTTGAAGATCAAAATTCTTCAGATATTGCAGAGCAGTATCTAAATCTACCACAAACAGCTCTAACTCTAGAGTGTCGAATGATTGTAATAGGTTCTTATAAATGTATTCCTCGGGAAAAAATAGTGATTTCTTACAATGGTATAAGATTTGATGTCCCTTTGGTAGAAGATGGTACTTTTATTTTATTTATAACGAAAATATGGGTAAAAAAAAACATAAGTTCTTTGAAATATTTTGATATTTTACAGATACAAGTTTTGTAACTTTGGATGTGAAATACAGGCATGTAATTAAGCTTTTAATTCATTTTGAACAAACAATGCCACTACTATTCCTTTATATGTCTCCAAGTACAGGAATCAAGATACGTGAATTATTAGGAATGCAAGATCCAAAGGGACCATATTATGATCCTGTTGGAAAAGGTATAACATATACGAATTTTCTATATTTTAAATAGGTTCTGTAATTTCTGTAATTTAATGATTTATCTAAAAAAATATGTATTCAATCTCCGCAGTTTTCGATAAACATAATATGTAGAAAAGATATAAAAGTTCTTACAATTAACGAAGATGAATGTGATTAATATTTCAACTTTTTGATATTTTTTAGTTGAAATGCATAGACATATTACGTTATTACTAGATAAATTACCAAAGGATTCAAAGGCGATACTAATAAGTTTATTCTTACACGAAGGTAAAATAGACGAATTGACTTCTCCAGAAGCTAACAATATATTAATACGGGCCACACGGACGTTATGGGATCATGTGCGTGTATTTGACTGAATTATAGTATATTTTATTATATATAACATATATGTACATTTTTAATATAAGCATATATACACATATATATATATATATTTAATATTTTTATAATGTTGACAGTCGCTCATTACTACACGGAAGCTAAATCAAAACTTAACAAGTACTATAAGTGCTACAGATACTACTGGTGTCAATGGTAACGTACAAACGTAAGAATCTTATTTAATAATCGATTTTTAATAATCGTCTTTTAATAACTTAATACATGGTACAAAATATATTTCATAATCTTACTTATTTAATTTAATATTACTTGATTTTTTGAACATAGTTATAAATTTGTAAATAATTGAATTTTTTTATACGTAAACTATTTTTTGCAGAATAATTACATATCCATCATTTTCTGTAGAAAGAGGAATAACTATTAACACTGCACATTACCTATGTCTCGCAGAAAACCAATACTTGAATGATACGGTTATAGAATTTTATTTAAAGTATTTAACCTTAGAGGTATTGTCAGAATTTGATCAACGTAGGACTCACGTATTTAGTTCATTTTTTTATCAGCGTTTGATTACTCCACATTTCGGAAAAACTCAAAATACCGTACCAATGCCACTTGCCGCCGAGCGGCACGCAAAAGTACAGAGGTGGACGAGGGATGTTAATATATTTGAAAAAGATTTTGTTATAATTCCTATAAACAAGGAGTAAGTAATTCTGTAAATTTAACATGAAGTCAATATAAGCTTAAGAGCTGTGCTATAAGTGGTACTTTATATGAGATGCCTTCTAACAAGAGACACACATGATATGGTATAACACAGTGCATCATTACATCCTTATTGTTCGTCAATGTTAAACAAGGATGAGATGATTACTATATTGTACTGAGTCGCTTATTGAAAGGCACCCATAGTGTCCGGTACTGGGTTCACTCAGGACAGTCAGGACCAAGGATCTTAAAAGTTGGAATCAATATGGTTGGGATATTAGATAAAAA